GTGTACATTTTTGTTTAAAACAAAAATTATACAAACTGTTCTATACAATCTAGGCTTTCGAATTAATGTGGTCACAATTCTGGGGGACGATAAAAATCTAGAGTCATTTTGCTTTTTTTGAAGATACCTGCGAATCAAGTGCCTGAAACTGTTTTGAAATTCGCCAAGAGTTGCAAAAAAGATTTTTCAATTATAGATTCACTCAATTCAAAATATATCACAGTACACTAACTATAATTGTGGTGTCTTCTGATCCTCGATTTATTACACTGCATAAATTACATCATTACATGTGATTGTACACGTGAACACTACAACCCTCCCTACCTTGGATACAAAATCAAAATGTCTAATTTATGGTTTTAAATGTTAAGTCCATAAAAACTCGAACGATCCCTTTAACGAGGGTTTAAGTAATGTTCTCTGAAAAGAGTGTTCATGGTCAGTCCTTTAACTTGTCACATAGTCATTTAGCCAACTGGGCGGCTTTCTGTTTCTTGTGGGCCTTGMGGCTACAGGTGGTTGAGWGTTGACRTCTGTCGAGTCCAATACCTCTTCCGTTTCGTCCTCAACAGTCGGTAGGACTTCATCATTGACTGTCTTGAAATGAGATGAGTTGCGGGTTATGGCCTTTTCATCATTGCGGGCTGTGACCATGCTACCTTTGACTTCTTCGACGACCATGGGCTYGGGACTGTAAGGTGTCGATAGCTTTGACGTCTTGGGCTGTCTGACGATAACTGTCTGACCCGGTTTAACTTTACACTCTATAGCTCTGCGTCTCAGATCTGCATACTCTTTCATCTTTTTCTTCTGCTCGTCATCTCGTTCTCTCATGTTGTCGGGTTTCTGTGCGGCTTTGAAAACAGGAGTTATCTCTGGCAGTGTTATCTTTCTGTTGTTCAGTGCTTCACACGGGGATACTTTCGTTGTTGAGTGGGGTGTGGCTCTGTATTGCCTCAAGAATTTGAATACTTCCTGCTTCCAGTTTTTGCCTTCCATGTGTGCTATGGATATGCACTTGTTGAGGTTCCTCATGAAGCGTTCAGCTTCACCATTGGCTTGCGGCCAGATTGGGGTGATCTTTCGGTGGTGGAATCCTGCGTATTCTGCGTAGTTTGCAAAGTCTTTCCCTTTGAAGGGCGGGCCATTGTCTGTCTTAACGATTTCTGGTATGCCTTGTCTCGAGAAGATGGCATCGAGTCTTGGTATCGTCGCTCTTGCCGATGTAGTGGTGATAAGCTCGACTTTGGGGAAACGGCTGCACTCGTCTACCACGACAAGAAGATATTCGCCAGAAGGAAAAGGTCCTGTGAAGTCGAGCGCTACCTCCTTCCAGGGTCCTTGGRGAAGTGGAGTCATCTTTAGCGGTTCAGGGCGAGACTGGTTGCTTGGTCCTGTCGCAGCTTGAMATRACAGACATTTCTCGACTTTGTCTTTTACCATCTTGTCGATGTGTGGGAACCACACCTTCTCACGTATGAGCTGTTTAGTTTTCACAATCCCTTGGTGACCAACGTGTGCGAGATCGACTRCTTTATCTCGGAGCTGGTGAGGGATTATGATTCTGTTTCCTCTAAGTACCATTCCGTTGAATGCYGCGAGTTCGTMYTTAAMGTTYGCGTACTGCTTTACGATTGGATCAGTSCAATTGTCGGTTTCRATTGCTTTCAGCAATGACTGGAGTTCCTGGTCTGTCTTAGTGGCGGTTTTGATCTCTTGGAGTGTCATTGCTTTAGGTACGGCGTTGGTTGTGATGTAGTTGACATAGCTCTCTGCGATACTAGGACTTTCTTTTTCCGCCGATGGATGTCTACTCATGAAGTCGGCAGGGTTGTCTTTGCCTGGTTTGTAGATAAGCTCGTAGTCATAAGGCATCAGTCTCAGCCTCCATCTCTCAATTCGAGCTGACATTGGTTTGTGACTCTTGAAGATTCCAAGAAGTGGTTTGTGGTCTGTGACGATTCTGA